TTTATTGAATATTAAATTATTTATTGAATAATGATTTTGTTCTTCTTTTGATTTTCCAAATAATTTCAATTCCATCAATAACTAATGGCTTTTCATTTACTATAATAGAATTTTGGATTTCCTCTGCAATCGTATCAAAAACCCTTAACAATTCAACAATAATTTGATCTATAGTTTCATTTTTTATATTTATTTATGAAAAATCAGAATAGATATCATCAAGATAGTATATTAAACTTCTTAAGCAATCTTATGAGTCTTAATATTATTAAAAGATTTATTCATTCCAAATATATAAATTTAGTTCTAGCTCCTCTTCGCATTGTTTTTTTATTTTACTAAAATACTTTAAAATTGTATTAAAATTTTATGCATTCTCTTTCATATTTTCTATCTTTTTTGTTAAATTTACTACAGGTTAAGTTGAATTTTAGGTAATAAATAAATGGTTTGAGTTTAAATCTAAACATTTTTTTGGAGTTTCTTCATTCAATAATCGATTTTTAGGTTTACTTTCTTTTGAAAAGATTAAGAACTATCTATATAATTTTATAGCTTAAAATTTTAGGATATTCTCATTCTTATCAGACAAAATTTAAGATTAAGTCAAATCTAGATAAATTTATTAATGTAGTTCATCACATTTTTAATTCATTGCTTCAAATAGCAGAGTTATTTTATTTTATAAAGTTAAATTTTAAAATTGAATTGATGAACAATTAATTTTTGCTTATTTCATAGTAATCTTTTCAAAAGTATTAGTAATTGATCCCCCATTATCAAGAACTTATACTAAAATTCCAATTTTTGAAGAGTCAATAGAAGTAGGGGCTTAAATTGAGAATTAATTTTAAGTTTAAAATGGATACAAAATTAAGGAATTATCTGATATTCCTTTTAAAAAATCTGTTAAATCAGATTCTCTCAAAAATTACTTAAGCTAATATTAATAAGGGGAATCATTTGATAATTCACAAGTTGTAACAACTAAAAAATCAGTAAGTGCAAAGTCACTTTACCGATTAATATGTAATTTAGAACATTTAGCAGGTTAATTAATAGAGAATTATATATTTTTTAAGCTTGGCATGATATTATTATTATACTAAGCGGCAAATTTAAGATTAATTTGGTCACCAAGATTTAATTCTTAAATGCTATTAAATATCTTGAATTGATGGGAAATGAATTTTGGCTGAAGTATTTCTATTATCTAATAGTCATAAATAATTGTAATTGATAGATCTAGTAAATCAATTTTTTTCTCAAAAGGAATTAAATAGGTAAAATTAAGTAATTCATAATTATTAATTTTTCTCATTAAATAACCCTTATTAAATTATAATTCTAATTGAGGGAAATCATCTTCAAGATAAACAATAATTAAAGCAAATTTAGATATTTATTGAAATTTTTTAGCCGTTACTGTCCATTCTTAGACAGTAAAGGTGGATATCGAATTCTTTTTAATGAATTGAAAAGAATCAGTTTGATTAACATTTATTATTTATTTTTATTCATTTTTGCATTAAGTATTAAATGATAAATCTTTACAAGCCACTTCAATATTTATATCTGGATCACTTTACCTATCATATGTTGAATCAAAATCTTCACAATATATTTCGAGATTTAAATCTCTTCTAATATTCTAAATTCCTTGGTTGTTGAACTAACAAAATAATCCAGCCATTTTAGTTTCAAAAGTAAAATTTAAATTTTCAGATTTATTAGAATTTAAATTAATTGCAGTGACTTAAAATGTATATGTTGAATTGTTGCTTAAAGTATATCTTGGAATAGTAGTATAGACCATTTCAAAGGAATTGGAATCAATAGTAGTATTCAAATCTGATGAAGATGACTATTAAGGATATCTATCAATTTCAATTAGTTAAATCTAATATCTAGAAGAATCATTTGAAATTGATTAAACTAAAGTGCCAACAGAAACACCAATTTTAATTGTTTCATAAACAAAATATGAGGGTTTCACATCTAAATTAATTTATGGTACATCTCCTGCATGAGTGTATATTGTAAATTCAGAATAAGATTAAATAAGGATGAAATTGTAATATTAAATCCTAAATTTTAATACTGCATTACTAGGTAAAGTAAGCTTTGGTATTATTAAATTTTATTCTTGAAGAAAGTTAAGTTGATCTAAGAATTAATTAAGCATAGAGCTAGATTCGTCAGATTCAATTTAACAACTCCAATTAATGTTTACTAACTTTCTATTTCCATTGTTTATAATTGATTTTAAATATACTTAATTTTCAGCATAAGGATTGAGTTTATGAAGGGGTACACGATAATATATTTTTGGAGGTAATGGATTTTTTGGTTATTATAATGTTGCAAAGATAAACGTTTTTAAAGTAGTTTCACAATTTATATGAGATAATGAATTATCTTTAAATAAGATTGCTTCACCAATATTTATTTTAGAGTCTTCTCCTAGATATATTAATAATTCCTTATTATCCTCAGGGTTAAGGATACAAATTGAATTTTAACCAAAACTTTGTACAGATACTAATTCAAACAATTACGAGCATCTATTAAGTTATATTTAAGAATCGAAGCTCTTAGGATTCAAAGGGAAATCAAAATGGATAATAATCTTACTAAGGTCATCTGATAAATATGAATTGATTACTGCAACTTGACAAGCTAATAATAATATTTTGGAATAATTTACTTGAACACCAAGGAGTATTATCATACCAAATCGAGTTTGGTGGAGGAATACAACTCATTTCTTCATTAAGTTCTCTATTAGCAAAGCAAGACAAGCATCCGTTGATATTGCATTCTAAACAAGTGCTATCACATATTTAGCAATCTTCATTTATTTGATCGTCATAATATCCAGATTAACATATGCATAATGGTTCTTAAAATCTATTACCTTTACAAGTTGAGCAATTCAAAGGATCTTAAACACAAGTAGTACATTAAAATGCACATTCTATTAACATTTAATAATTCAATACATTAACATTAGGTTTATCCAGATTCAAAATATCCATCAATACATTTGCAATCTTTATCAATTCTACCTGGCTTGCAAGTCAAACAATTTGAGGATTCCTATGAGCATGTATTGCATTTAGAAGCACAAACTTTATTTTAAGATATAAATTTACTTTAACAATTAAGTTACTTATCTTCATAATACCCATCAGTACAATTACATGTAGGTGGATTAATTCTTATTGAATTTTAGCAAATTAAACAATTATTTTTGTTAATTTCACAAGTTTTGCATTGCTAATTACATTTTTAACATTCAATTTATGTTCCATCATCAAAATAACCATCTTTGCAATTACATTAATCAGATAAAGATTTACGATTTGAATTTTATTATATTTTACAACTTAAACACTAATCACTCGAATTGATGCAGGTTTAACATTTAATATGACATTCTAATAATAGTTTTGAAATTTACTTTAACAAATAAAATTTTGATCTTGATAAAATCCAATAATACAAGGACATTTATGTAAAATTGATTGGTCAACTCTTTTAGAATTAGTATCACAGCTTGTACAATAATCCGCTGAGCCTTAACAGGTTAAACATTCATTTGAGCATTCTATTTTATGATTTAATTTTGATACTTGAACATATCTATGTGTTTTATTCATAATACCCGGGTTTACATAAACATTTGTCTCCTTAATGATATCTGTTATGTTCAATATCATAACAAGATAAACATAATGAAGCAGAAGATTGACATGTTTTACAAAGATTATTGCATTTAAAACACAATTCGATGCCAGCTTCATAATAGCCATCGAGACACAAACACTTATTATTTATTAATATTCTATGATATTAACTCATACAAGTTAAACAATTAGTATTGATATTTTCACAAGTATTACATGAAAAATGACATTCTAAGGAATATTTAACTCTATATTACATTAGCAATGTTATTAATTTGTTTCAAAATATCCATCATTGCATAAACATTTATTTAAATCTACTTCTAAATGTCTAGTTGACAATCTACATTACGTACATTCATTACTATTTTGACATTCTAAGCAAGTGATATTACATTCTATATATAAATATATATGATTTATTACATTAACATGAATGACTTACAGAATCAAAGAAATAAGATTGTGAGCACAAACATTTATTGTTGATCAAAGATAAATTAAGATTATTATCACAAGTTAAGCAATTATCATATACTAAGGAACAAGTCAAGCAGGAACTCATACATTGTTCACAATTCTAATTTATTGGATTTTCATAATATCCTTGTATACATTCACAAGTATTCCCATATTTAAATTGTCTAAAATTATCAATAGAGCATGTTAAACAATAAGTATTAGTATTGGCACAAGTTAAGCAAGTCTTATCACATAATTTACATGATTTATCACTACTTGATTCATACATTCCATCATTACAAATACAATCATTTATTTTTAGGTGTTTAAATTAAATACAAGAAGAACATTAATTTATGGATTAAGAGCATGTCTTACAACTTGAATGACATTATTAACAGATTCCATCTATCTCAATATAACCTATTTAGCAATCACAGGTTTTATTTATTATGTTAATTTCTCTGAATTAATTAGGATCACATGATGTGCAATTATTTGAGATGATTTCACATGTCAGGCATTTTGAATTACATTTTGAACAAAGTTATAAGCCAATATCGTAATATCCCTATTAGCATTTACAATTTATTTCTATTTTCCTTGTCTAAGGACATGATAAGCATTAATAAGATTATCCAATACAATTTAAACATTAAATATCACATTTTTTACATGATATTGATGAACCATCATCAAAATATCCAAATAAACATTTACATGCATTATTATTATATACTCTTTTAGTAGTATTCACATCTATACAAGAAATACACGAATTTGCATCTCCAGAATTACAACTTAAACATGAATAGTGGCATTTTTAACAATTTTCAACTCCAATATCATAATATCCAATATTACATTCGCATGTAAAAAGCAGATCATTATACATTCTATTTGATTGAATTGAGCATATTTCACATCTTGTTTCAATATCATTACATTTGAGACATGAAAAATGGCATTCTTAAATAATTAGAAATCATATTTACTTTAGCAAACCTCATTCTATCCATCATCATAATATCCTTGAATACATTGACATCTATTAAAACCTGAAACTAATAATCTCAAACTGTTATCCTGGCAAGAAATACATCTTTCAGATTACTTTTGACATTCTTTACATTTATAACTGCATTCTATTATAAGAACCATTTTTTACTTTAACAAGTCGGCAATCCTGCATCAAAGTATCCTTCTTTACAAACACAAGTATTTCCTACTTAGAATCTGTTATCAGTATCCATACAAGAAATACAATTTCCTTCATCCATTTCCATGCATATACCACATGAATAATGGCATTCTAATTGTTATTTAATAAAATACTCTAGCATATTCCATTAAAATCAAATTTACTAATTGCTGCTCCATGTAATCTAGTTTTACATTTGCATGTATTTCCATCTAAGTATCTATCATCATTGCATGAAGTACAATTATTAGAATTGTTAATACATTCATAACATAATGGGCTACAAGCTATTTTAGATCTAATGGTTACTTGCACATTCTTAAACTTCCATTTCAAAAAAATTTGGTTAGCATTAACATAAACTATTTTTAAGTTCTCTATGTTAAATAGAATTGCAGGAGAGACATTCATTCTGCTCAATTCCTTTACAGGTTTGACATTTGAAATGGCATTCTTTAATTTATATTTATATTACTTAGACAAGTTATCTCATTTTCTTTATCAAAGTATTCTTCTGGACAATTACATCCTTTAATTGGATCAAGCCTACGCATTGAATTTAATGGACAACTCAGACATTTATCCGGTTGAATGTCACATGTCTCACATTTATAAGAACATTCTAATAAATTTTTTAATAATTTTAATAATTACTTTAACATTAAGCAATTCCCTCTTCCTCATAATATCCATCTACACATTTACAAGTATTGCCTTTCAAAACTCTAAGATTAAGGTCAAAAGAACACATAATACAACTTTCTGCATTATTATCGGAACATCTGTGACAAGAATAATGACATTCTTTTAATAATGAATAAATACTACCTGCACATTCTAATTATCCAATATCATAATAATTTATTGGACATACACAATATGATAATTCCAGTTATCTATAATTTATATCACATGTTAGACAATTAGATGAAAATGGACCATAACATGTTTGACAGGATAAATCACATAATTGACATTATTATGAAAATCCATCATCAAATGTATTTGAATAAGTACAAATACATTCGAAGTAACTACCTGATGATTTAGCTGTTCTACTAGAAGGACATTCTAAACATGCATCTATATCAGTGCTATTTGCACAAGTTAAACAAGAATGATGACACTCTATAAATCAAAATTAACTGAATACTTTAACATATTATGTTATCCTTATTATCATCATAATATGGTTATTTGCATAAACATTCTCCTGATGGTGTTAATTCTCGATAAGAACTTTAAGAACATTCTGAACAATTTGTTGCTTCTAAACCATAACAATTTCCGCATGTGTAATGACAAACTATTTATAATTTATTAATGTACCTGCACAAACTTCTAAAGTTCCCCCAAAATCACTGTAATTAACTTCACAATCACACTTAAAAGATTCTGAAACAACACGATTTTATCCAGGTATACAAGTAAGACAGTATTGATTTTCAGATCCGTCAGCGGGTTAGAAACATGTTATGCATTTTGCATGGCATTCTTAAATTAATTAAAATTAATACTTCCACAGGTTTATTCCTTAACTTCATATTCAGAATATCCAGTTTTACATTGACAAACATTTCCAATTTAAATTCTGTTTGAAATATTTTCTTCTACACAATCAATACATTCTTAAATTAATGGACCAAAGCAAGTTTAACAAGATTTATCACAAGCTATAAATCAATAAAAAATTTACAAATGCAAATTTAATCATCATTTTCAGGGTCATATGTTAGTGGTTTACAAATGCATTGTTTATTTATTAGTATTCTATTTGATCCTAGTTTACATGAAGTACATTAATAAAAATCATCATGTTCACACTCATAACAATAACTATCTGCGCAAAGTGTGCAAGTTCCATATAACAAACCATACAATTGTTTGCATTTGCAGATACCATTATCAAGTATTAAATTTTTTTTGCTGTCACAAGTAGTACAAAAGCTAGGATTAGTATCCAAACAGGTGGAACATTTGGAATCACATAATCTTTCTTTGCATGTGCCATCCGGTTATAACGCATAAGTATGATAACATCCGATACAATTTATTCTTTGAGGGTCTAACAAGACACAAGGAAATTTATAAGGAATTTCTAAATACTTTAAAAAAACAATATTACTGATGCATTATTTTTCAGTAATCGAATAAAAATATCCTAGATCGCATAAAGTACATGTTGTATAATATTAGTATTAGTTGTCAATGATGTTATTAAGTTTCATTGATTATCTTGAGGGGTCGCAATTCCAATCCATTTAAAAGCAACGATAGTCACTTGAATATGCCAACTATATTAAGTATCCTTACATGCAACTAGTACAACTGTATTCGGAGATAGTGGATTGGCCAGCGGATAGACAAGGTTCAATATCTAAAAATACCTATACAAATATAATTACGAAGACATTATCGTGGGTCAGTTCTAAACCCAGGTATGCAAACTCCTGAAAGTATTAATGTATTATCTTCTAGTTTACTACAAGAAGCATGACCATAACAATCTATTCATATAAATATAATTTGTAATAAAATACATTAACTACAAAGTCCATCATTTTGACCTTCCATAGAATACCCATTTCTACACTTACACACAGATAATTCAAAGCATTCCAAACAATTTCCATAGCATTCTTTAATAAATATATTGTTATACTTCTTTCATTGGGACTTATATATCTTTGATCGTATCCCTTTTCAATTTAATCACAATCAAAACCAGATCCAATATATGGTCGTTTACAAATATAACATCGAAATACACCTTGCTGATAGGTTGTTATCAAACATCTTTATTGTATTAAACCTGTAAAATCTAAAGTAATAGTCATTTATACTTACATCTGCAATAATATTTATAATATCCGTCTGGTAGCAACTCTATTACAAGTGAAACGCCTTATTCAAATCCACAATGAACTATATAATTATCTAGAGTTGGAGTCCCTGCTCCCCATGGTTAGAATCTGGGATGACATACATGTTAAGTTCCATTTACTTCAGTTTTTACTAATACTTCTGTAACACCTTTGCAAATCAGAGAATAAGCTGTTAATAAAGCTAATAATTACATACACATTTGTGTGGATGCATTCCTGGCATAAATGTATGTAATTCAGGACAATCTGTTTAGTAATCTGCAAAACCAATCTATCGAAGTGCCGATGAGTTGTAAAATCTCCATCCAAATACTTCTTTGAGGAGAATCAAACTAATCAAAAACATAATCAAATTTTAATATTTTTTCATCTCTGAACATCAAAGGTTAAAAATTGCATCGTTTAGTCTTAAAATTAAAAAAAACTAAATTTTTATTGTTCTCTTAAAAATGAATGTAAATTAAAATCATTTAATCAAAGCTAAAGGCATGAATTTTTTCTAGTTGAAATGATGATGTGGAGTTCTTAAAATCCATTAAAATATATAATATAAAATTCAAATTTATGATCATATTAGATCTATTAATTTATTCATAAATTATGACAATAATTTGCATGAAAATAATTCTAAATCAAAATTTTCTATCTTAATCTAATAAATAATTTAGGAAATGGTAATTAACTTTGTTTTTCTCTTAATATAAAGATTTTATGCTTAAGAAAAAAATGAAATTGGACTTAATTAAATAACTAAATTATAAAAAAATCTGAAAATAAGTATAAAACTATTTAAATTTCTTTTATTCAAAACCTTGTCCGCATTCCCTATATAATAAGAAAATGAAATTAATTCAAAATTATTGTCAAAATTGTTATAAAAATAATGATAAGAATAAGAATAAAAGAGAATTTAATTAATTCTAATTATTTCAAACTTATTGGCTATCAATTCAAATCTTTTTTATGATCAGAATGAAGCATTCCTGATATTTTAATATAATTTTTTATAGATTTATTTTCAACCAAATTTATTCTAAAAAATTTTGAAAAATAAAAAAATACTTGATTAACAATAAACCAATTAAAATTCTGAATAAATTAAATCAGAATCTTAAGATAAGCATAAGCATTTATTAAAAAAATAAGTAATGACAAACTTTAAATTCTATTTATCTTCAAAATATTTACAAATTTTTATTATATGATCTCGTTAAATTAAATTTTAGAATGTCAATAATTGATTAAACCTCAAAAAAAAGAATGGTCCATCTTATAACTTTAAATTGGAATTTTTATGAAATATCAAGAGGGGTTAGACTTTCACAAGTCATAGTTTTATTTATCATAAATTTGTGTGATTTTAAGTTAAAATTACTAATTTTTTAATAAATGATTGTTATTAATCACATACAAATAATTATATAATTTAATCAGAATTCATAAGTGATTTTCTTTATAGTGAATCTAATATTTTAATATGCTTTATTAAACCTCAAAACTTCATTTTAAAATATTTTAGATACTTAATATTAACATTTTATTTATCTTGTTATTTAATTTAAATATAAAATGCATATTAAGATAATAAGACTAAATATAAATCATTTAATATGAAATTTAATATGAAGGTATCTTGATTTTATCTTTAAAACTCAGACTAACAATATGATTTGTTATAAATGAATGAACCTCAAAGACAATATATACATTTAGTCAATATAATCTAAACAGAAAAAAAATTTATCAATGGACTTAATTTATTGAATAAGATAAATTTAAAATAATATTTATTTTAAATTTTATATCTTTGGAATTAATATTTAAACCATTTCATAACCTTTTTCATATTCATGCAGTTAATTTTCTATTAAGTTTTTCTAGAGCAGCCTTGTTTTCTGCTTCGTAATTTAAAGCTTCTTTTAAAAAAAAATCAATTGTCTTTTCCAAAGCTGTCATCAAAGGTGTGAATTGAATACCCAATTCTTTGATTTTTTAATTATTAATAACACCACAATCAACAGAAGGATAGAATTTACTAGCTTCAACTACATGTTTAATATTTAATTATTTTTTGGTTATTTTATCAAGCTAAAATTAGTATAAAAGTATTACGATCACCTAAGCTAATTCGATATATGAAATTGTCTCATCAAAACAAACATTATAAATTTAATTTTATACTGGAATATTTTAAATAAAATATTTGATGCAATTCACAACATCTGTGCTATATACTAGACTAATTTATTCTGATTGCACAGCTTAATCCTAACTAATTAATATTTAAATTTACCACTTAAATTGGATGTTTATCATTTTATTATATCCATTTTATCAAAGCAAAAAATCTTCCAGAATCATCAAAAGGTCCAATAACATCTGGAAGTCTCAAAATAACATATCGAAATGAACCTTCAATTACATAATTTTGTAGAAACTCTTCGCATTTCAATTTATTCTAAATATTGAAATTAATTATTACATGGCCATAACTCTCTCCTTTCTTTTATGATTCTGTTAATTCTTTTCTTTAATCCTAATCTTCTGTTATTGGAATTTATTTTATCTTGCAAACATCATAGATTGAATCAGTTGATATAAATATGTATAAATTACACAACCCTCTTAAAGCAGCATAAACAGATTTCACTTAATTACTATAAAAAGCAGAAAAATCAATAACAGCTTCCCAATTCCTTCCATTAATTCCGACATTCAATTTTTTTGAGAGATATCTAAGTAAAGTAGTAAAATCATTTGTGTCTTCTCGATTACCATATGTATAATAAACATTCTTTATTTAATTTACTGCATTATTCCAATAATTTTTCCCTCTATTTATATAATGAACTTCATAAGACTCATTTTAAGAAAGATCTTGTATTAATTCCTTTCCCATAAAAGTAGAACCACCAAGTACAAGTATTAACTTTTTCATGATACTTTCTGAATTAAATAATTAATAAAATGGAATTATGTGACTAATTTAAAGAAACTGTAAAATTATATTTAAAATATAGCTTTAAGAATAAGATGACAATAGAAGATAAATATTGATGTTTAGTGTATGTAGAAAATTGAGTAGAATATTGCCTTTTCCTTCAGTTATCTCTGTGTTGTAATAAAAACCAAATATATTGAAATATTTACTGATCGCCAGTCAATTATATGAAAATAGTGTATAAATAATTTAATTCTAGGTTTTATTATTATTCTATGCTTTATAAGATAGGTATTAGGAATAGTAGGATTATATTAAATTGTATTTTGATTGCGTTATTAAATGTCTTATTAATCAGGAGAGTATTTTACTGATTATTGACTTTTTTTAGTATATTGTCAAACTGTGAATGATAATGATACCAAGCTAAGATGGTTTCTACTAGAGAACTCAAAAATTTTTATCAATAAAATCTAACTGACCTTTTTTGACAATGAAATTGTTAGTTAAAAGGTAAATAATTTCTTTAAGAGTTTCATTAAATATAACTCTAATTTTGATATGCTTAATTCATGTTTCTAATTTGCTTTAGATAAAAGAAACGTATGGATTTTATTAAGAGAATTGGATTAATAGTTTGAAATTGATGTTGAAGATTGTATCAAATATCAAATATTTAAGAATTGGTTGCCTTAAGTTAAGTGATGAGTTCAAAGAATTTAGATTATATAAGTGAAAAAATAGAATAAAAAAGAGAAGAAGCATCAAATTATGGATTAACAAAAAAAGAATTAAAATAATAAATGTTAGAAGAATGGTTATTTTAACCAAGTGAAGTACCTTTATTAGTAGCTAATCATGCTACAGTTGATTAATTGAGTAGTGAAGTTTTTAAGTCTAATATGCTCCTAGACTTGTTTTTGTCATTTTTATTGTTTCCAACAAGAAATCCTTAAGTAGTTCCAAATGTAAATTTATATTTTTCATTTTAGAAATTATATAATTTTTATGTAGATCTATATCCTCCAGATCCTCCTTCATTTAGATAGTTGAATGTTAATGTATCATAAGAAAGAAGACCTATAATCTAATTTAGAGCTTTCAGAACTATGCAAGTCATAACTGATAATAGAAATAACTTTTTGTTAACAAGAGTTAACAAGGAATATTATTAGAGAGCCTATTCAATGCTTTATGAATGTCTAAAATAAGATTTAGTTGCTATAACTATTTGTCCAGAAATTATTATATAATATTTATCCTTCCTTTTATATCAAGAGCCTGAGATGTCAACATTCTTTCTGATTTTTTATAATATTCCTTTTAGATTGATGTTATTTTTAGNTAGTGTATGTAGAAAATTGAGTAGAATATTGCCTTTTCCTTCAGTTATCTCTGTGTTGTAATAAAAACCAAATATATTGAAATATTTACTGATCGCCAGTCAATTATATGAAAATAGTGTATAAATAATTTAATTCTAGGTTTTATTATTATTCTATGCTTTATAAGATAGGTATTAGGAATAGTAGGATTATATTAAATTGTATTTTGATTGCGTTATTAAATGTCTTATTAATCAGGAGAGTATTTTACTGATTATTGACTTTTTTTAGTATATTGTCAAACTGTGAATGATAATGATACCAAGCTAAGATGGTTTCTACTAGAGAACTCAAAAATTTTTATCAATAAAATCTAACTGACCTTTTTTGACAATGAAATTGTTAGTTAAAAGGTAAATAATTTCTTTAAGAGTTTCATTAAATATAACTCTAATTTTGATATGCTTAATTCATGTTTCTAATTTGCTTTAGATAAAAGAAACGTATGGATTTTATTAAGAGAATTGGATTAATAGTTTGAAATTGATGTTGAAGATTGTATCAAATATCAAATATTTAAGAATTGGTTGCCTTAAGTTAAGTGATGAGTTCAAAGAATTTAGATTATATAAGTGAAAAAATAGAATAAAAAAGAGAAGAAGCATCAAATTATGGATTAACAAAAAAAGAATTAAAATAATAAATGTTAGAAGAATGGTTATTTTAACCAAGTGAAGTACCTTTATTAGTAGCTAATCATGCTACAGTTGATTAATTGAGTAGTGAAGTTTTTAAGTCTAATATGCTCCTAGACTTGTTTTTGTCATTTTTATTGTTTCCAACAAGAAATCCTTAAGTAGTTCCAAATGTAAATTTATATTTTTCATTTTAGAAATTATATAATTTTTATGTAGATCTATATCCTCCAGATCCTCCTTCATTTAGATAGTTGAATGTTAATGTATCATAAGAAAGAAGACCTATAATCTAATTTAGAGCTTTCAGAACTATGCAAGTCATAACTGATAATAGAAATAACTTTTTGTTAACAAGAGTTAACAAGGAATATTATTAGAGAGCCTATTCAATGCTTTATGAATGTCTAAAATAAGATTTAGTTGCTATAACTATTTGTCCAGAAATTATTATATAATATTTATCCTTCCTTTTATATCAAGAGCCTGAGATGTCAACATTCTTTCTGATTTTTTATAATATTCCTTTTAGATTGATGTTATTTTTAGATATACCAGAAATTTCGTAATTTTTTACATAAATAATGAATTTCCTATAAACTCCTTATAATAAAGTTCATAATGAATCTAATTTATTAATTTGGAAATATTTTGATTTCTCAAATTTTTTTTCTGATTTACTAAATATGACTATATTCAACTCAAAAACTATAGATGATGTAATCACTTTAAAATCAAATGAATTATATAGACCTAAAAATTTAGAAGAAATATTAAGAAGACCAGATTTTACTCCATTATAAGTTGAAAAATAATTTCCTTAACCAGAATAAAAGAAGGTAGCTGAAGAAATAGATGAATTAGATTAAGATCTTGATCACATTTTTCAATATCTTCCTAATAAATGTTAAAAAACAGTTAAGATCTTTGAAAAAATGTTTGATCAGGCATCAAAAAAAAAAGAAAGCAAAGTTAAATAAAGAATGTCTTTAGCAGCTACTCCACCTTAATTTTTATAGACCAAAAATCTAAAAACTGAAGATTAAACTCCGATAACATTCAGTCCTACTAGAAGAAGAACAATTTTAGCACCAAAACTAGCATCTATGTTTGATGGGAGCCTTAAGAGATCATTAATTGTCAATCCTATTGAATTTGATAATCTGCCTTAAACTACGACGAATAGTACCACAAGAAGTCAATTACAAGCCTTAACTAACCCTAGTAATTTGTTTGGAGTATTGACTGAACAAATTTAATTAATCAACAAAAAGAATACTTCAGAAATTGTTTAGAAACCTATGTTTTAAAGAATGTTAGTAAAAAAACCAACTTAAATGATAATGCTTCATAGTAGATAATTGTCTAATCAATAAAGATTAAGTTAATAATCATCCTTAATTAATATAACAGAATCCTTAAATAAATCAAGAATCTAAAACTCTATTATTTTAAATAAGTTCACTCATTTAGTTGGACCTATTAAAAGTTATGATATAGACAAAGAGTTTTGCATTTATCCACCAGATTTGAAAGATTAATAGATTGATGATTTCGAAAATTTGGCATTTGATGAAGAATTTCAGAAACTTTCATTCAAAAATGAAAATTATACAAAAGGAGCCTTATAATGTATTTACGATATCCTTCATATGATTTTCACTTAAAAGAAGTTTATATTATAAAATAATCACCATTTTGAAAACCCAGAGTTCTATTTAAATATTTTAATTGGAGAAAACAAATCATTTTTTATAGACATCATAGCCAAAAACTATTTACTGAAATAGAAATCAGAAGAGGAATTCTTATGTACATTCATTATTGCAGGCAGAATTTATAATTTGATCTTGTCTTAGTACAATCTTAAAATTTTTTAATTTAATTTTCAAGAGCATATAATTTTAATATGTAAGATTCTTTTAACTTAACTACTGACATCAAAATTATCAATTAGAACAATTACATTATTGGAGAGTTTTACTTTGATTTTAGAAAACACAAAATCATAATTACTCTCTCATATTCCAATTTCTTTCTGGCATTTATTAATTGAAATGTATTCAATTCATAATTCCAATTAAATTTTCATAAATTATTTTAGAAGAATATTTGTCACTACTTTCATTTATGGAAACATAGTAATTTATCACAAAATTCTTCTGAAAATCAATTTTCTTTCCTATTTTAAGGATAATCCTGAATAAATTAAAATGATATTTTTGATATTATATATGATGTTTAAATTAAGACAAGATGGCTTAAAACAATTAAAGAGATAAATTACAATATTATCTTCTTGGAATGCTTTATCAAACTGGTACAAAAAGTAAGTATTATGATTAATTATTTTTTAGAGATTTATAATGCCTTGAATAATTAAAGTTCTAAGAGTATACAAAAGGACTTAGAAGTGAAGATATTGCTAGAATTTAAATAATGATAGAAAACAAAGATTCAAACAAAAAGAATAAATTTTGTAAACCTTGATTACATTTTAAAAATAATAAATTTAAAACTTATTATATTCACAAAAACAGAATCTTCAATAATTATATTCTTAATAAAAGGAGATTGATTATCTGGATTGATTATTAATGTCTAATAAAGTCCTTAATTTTTTTATGAATTGCAATGATGAAATTCTATTTTCAATATTAAATAATAATGAATGCAGAATTATGAAATTTAAGAGAAAATTTATGAGTCTAAATTGAAAATTATACATAAAGTCAGCAATATTAAAGATAACAACATATATGCAATTAAAGAGTTTGTTGGATTTTATAACTAGGGTTTTAAATTTATTGATCTTATAAAGCTATATGTGAAATATAAATTATGAAACGATGTTAATAACCCTTTTTTAAAGTAGATTTTAGATATTTTGTAAGGTTTTTTAAGTTATTAATTTTAAATAATTTAAATGTATTAAACCGAAGGAAGTATTTAGATTAGATGATAATATTATCATAATAATGGAATATCAGATTAAGGAAATTGAAAATAGTTTATAAGTGAGCATCTTGGAAGTTTCATTTCTGAAAGAGTGATTTGTAAAATTCTTATACAAATCGTATTTGTTTTAATTTATTTAAGAGAAAATAAGATATGTTATAAAGTTTTAAATACTGAAATTATATTATTACATTAAGAAGAAGTTAGGATTTATGATTTTTGGAATTGATAATTTAATTTGGCATCAAAAATCTTGTTACAAACCTACAGAATTGCTATTTTATAATAAATTTTCATACAAATCAATGATATATCAATTTGGTCTTGTATTATTCGAATTGACTACTTAAAGACAATTATTTAAATTAGAGATTATAGAACAAATCAAAGCAGTCATTCTTAATGGAGGAGCGTAATTGAAATTATCTTTTAAGTATTGTAAAGATTCCATAAATTTATTCCAAAGAGCTTGGATTCATTATTTCAACCTGTCTTGATCTCCGAGAAACTGATAGATTAGATATTCGTTAATTAGTAAACAATGACAATTTTATAATCTTATTAAAATAAAAGAATTTCACTTTTAATTATGAATAATTAGACACTTTTGAATTTTGGTGTAATAATAAATAGTAAAAATAAAAAGAAAGAGTGTTTATACTGATAATATAGAATTAGAAGTTAAAGAATCTAATCCTAATAATTAATAAATTATTTAATAAGATAAACCAAATAACAATAAAACAATCAATCTACGAACTAAAAATAAAGTAATCAAAATATTCCTAAGTAATATAAAAAAACCACAAGATGAAACATAAACTTTTAGACCAGCTTCTTAATAAACTAAAGGAACTTAATCTACTACGATTATTAAAAGTAATACTTACGGTAGATAAAAATTCATCTCCTCTACTCATCGAAAATTAGTTTCTCCAATTCCTAAAAACCTTAATATTTGGATGCTCCTATCAAACCATAAAATGCTATCAATAATTCAATAAAACTAAAAATGGAATAATGTGTTGAAGCTATTGGAATTTAAGAGACTAGATAAACTCTAAACAGATTAAGATAAGGTGGATCAGTAAATGAATTTCTTTCTAAATATCAAAATTCTAAGCATCATTGCATAGCAAGACATATGTATGATATTATTTCATTTACATAATTATGACATTCATATATAAATTTATACATCATTCTGCTTATAATTATTCTTAAATTGCTTTTTCTTCTTATAATGCAATTTCTAATCTTCCTTCTACAAATTTAGCCCAAGTTGGCGCTTAAGCCTACTTATATAGTTTTATCATCAACTGATCTTTTTTAATAATCTTTTACAAATCATTAAAATAACTCTCCATATCATTCATTAATTTGTTTTTTAATTTATTTTATTATCTTAAGCAGTCCTCCCATAATTTTTAAACAAATCTTTATTATAATTTCTCAGATGGGTCCTTTTTTAATTCAACTGATTTCTATTGTAAAAATGGTGAATATTAAACTAAAAAATAAAAGACACTTCCTCTTAATGGATTTTCAGGATTCAATAATTCCTCTTGTAACTATGGCATTTTTTCTCCAAATTTTTTAACATTCTAAAATTCTTCATCATTCTCTTAATGATTTAAAAGCTAATTAAATTACTACTAATTACAATTAATTAATCTGGCTATAATTAAGGACCCTAACAGGCTTCCTCTTCTTCCTTTTATTATTATTATTATTGTTATTATTATTGTTATTATTATTATTATTATTAGATGTCTGGCTTTTGTTATTACTAAGGAACTGGTTCATTAGGTATTTCTTTTAATTTTTATTCTAGGTACTAATCCATTCCATTCGTTTTATCAAATTTTGGGTATGTTTTCAGTATTTAAGCTGTCGTTACAGTCTTTTTCTTATTTAATGATTCTCTCAGCATGATACAATATTGTAAAACTGTCTTTTCATTTAAGAGAAGATCTCCTTCTATTGTAGACATATCAAGCAAATCATTTAATGAAATCTTTCCTTATCCTTTTAAATCGTTTGATATCCATCCTTTTTTAAATGCTTTAATTTCAATTACAGATAAATGAATTTCTTTTGTACCATTCTTGAAATCCTTTAGATTTATATCTTAAGCATAACCTAACCTACCCTAACTGTCGGCTTAATCAGTTTTCCCTTGATATGGTTAGCTAATAAGAATTAAAATAAGTTTACTTTCCTATATTTAATTCATATTATAATAACAACTTATCTCCATTTACAAAATTTTTAAATTGAATTCTTAATATACCATTTGGAACATCTTTATTTATAGTTGATACTTCTCTATTTTCTGATTCTAATTTAAATATTGGTAAAGGAGTCCAGCTTAAGTTTTTTTAATTTGATAAAAACTTCTATAATTCTTCATATCTGGCAAAATATTGTTTGCATATATCTGCTGGATTAACTTTCTGCATTTATTTTGTTCCAGGAATAACTTAAATGATTGGTTTTGCAAGTGAAGCCACTTTATAATATAGTTGTTCTTCTTTCAAAGCTTAATTCACTTAATCCAACATACTTTGGATTTTTGCCTAATATTCAATCTTAGGAATTCCAAGAAATTAATCTTCAGTAATTTCTTTGAATTCAGAAATAAAGAATTTTGAAAAATCAATATTTTTACCTTCTTTTAAATCATTTTAAATTGCTTTGCTTTTTTCAAGTTTTCCAATTAAGTATTCTATCAATTCTCTTTTTTCTTCTTTCATATGAGTACTTAAATATTATGTTAAATTTAAATATTCTTTATGTCTAACAAGTAATTCCTTTGCTTTTTCTTTAAATGGTTTCTCTTGGAATTCTTAATATAAAAATTTCTGTGTCAAGTCAGGACCACATCCAAATTCTGAACAAATTTTATCAAATTTTTTGTTTTTCAAATCTTCTAATTCTTAGTTCAAAGTCTTGCATCTTAAACCAATTCTATTCTTCATAGCTGGTGTAGCATCCTTAAACTTAATCTATTCTAATTGAAATGTTTCATTAACCATTTTCATATATTAAATTTCTTTAATTTGTTCATCTTTAATTTACTATGAAATAGAAGAAAGTTATTTTTACAAATCAGATACCTATTTATTATAATAATATCAGATACTAAGTTTTTATAAAAGTTTGTTAATTCAGGATTTTTTTTAAAATTTGGTAAAATGTTCTAATTAATATACCCAATGTCGAATTTTAGTACGCTCATCGACTTTAAGTTAGATGGAATAGTAAATTATTTTTCTAATTATGTTAAATCTATATTTCCTTTTTAATTTTTAGCAGGAGCTTATTGTTGTTGCAGATCCCTTGTCTAAATTGATTTTTATGGAACACGTTGATTCTAAGAATTTTCATATTATGACAGCATTTAATCATAGTCATCTCTTGATTATGGAGGATTGCCAATTTGGTTGTTTACTTTGCTGAGATCGATATTTCAAGAATAGAATAAAACTCATACAATTATTTTTAAAGTTTTCTCATTTCTGGATCATCGTCAAAGGCATTTTCTTCATTCATTTAAGGATCCACATCGTCAAAATCCTCACCCAACTCTTTTGAATATTCTGCCAAAAGGTCATTAATATTTCTTTTTGGCTACATCAAATAATTAATAATTATGAATTAAGAAAATGGAAAAATGTTTATCATATGGAAATAATAATAATCTATAGTAATAGAGATTTGAGTGAGTTAATTTTTATTATTTGATTTAATTAAATTTATGATAATAATTTTTGTTTGCCATCTTCTTTTATTAGAAAATAATATCCCACTCATAATTATTATTATGAAAATATAATAATTCTAAATCAATAAGTATGTCTCTGAAGATAAAGAAATATTAAATTTTCAAAATTGAATATATCATCAAACCAGTGTATGTTATTATTGGTGATTTTCTAATTCTTTTTAATCAACACTCTCTTATTTTTCATCTGAGGATTAAGTTCTTGTGGACTTTAATATTTATTTCTCATCAGTGTATTTATCTTTAAATTTGTTTAAGTAATTTTTGAGTATTTGGCTTCGATATTATTTTTAATTTCTTCCATTTAATTGGTGTACTTTTTTTTGTTCTGGTATATAATCCTCTTCATTTCTCTCTAAGGCTGTTAAAAAATTATTTTGACAATATGAATATTATGATGGTTCTGTTTAATCAGATGCTCTACTTAAACTTTCATCTTAAATTATCAATTTGTTAAGTTATTTAGTTTATTTTTTATTTGATTTAGAAGGGACTTATTCAAGTTTAATTTTCTAATGTGAATCAATATTTGGTATTGAATTTATACTCAATAATTATCCAGTTTTTGGTTGTTGTTCTGTTTGAGTTTATTAGTTCATAGTTAATTTTGTTCTAATTTTTATTTAATCAATTTATATCATTTGAACTGTTTCTACTTTTGAATATTAACAATAAGCAAGTGGTTCTACAAAAATATTTTCAATTATATTTGTTTAGGATTTAATAGTCTTAAGAGCATTAATGATATTTTGAGGTATCATCATTAATTTTTGTAAAATTTCCATTAAAAAAACAATTAATATTTATATAAATTTAT